GACAGGGGCCTCTTTCTCGTAGACTCAGACTATACGCGGTGCACGAGCACAATCAATTATTTATTTATTTTTGGAGACCCAGTTTACACGCGCCGAGTTTTGGCCTCAGGATGGTGGATCTAAGTACATTCGGTCTTCAGACCCACGTTCGGTCTTGTAACTTATACGAGATCTTAATCTGCTGAGCGAGTGGGGGTGTCGATAAGTTTAAGTATATCTCTTTAAGGTCGTGTACGTACTCTTCGGACGCGCTTGATCAATTTAAGTCGCACAACCAGCTCATCCTTTGACAAGAGACGGTCTTCTTCTTCTCGCGTGCCATCAAAGTGGACGTTCATGGGCGCATATCCGAAGGTTTCGAAATAGTGGCCCGTAATAAAGCGAAAAAAGCGACGGGAGTGCTGCGCTTCGAGAGAGGCGAGATATGCCTGAAAGTAGTGTCGCATAAATCTGACTTTGGCTGGGTCAATCTGGGGACGCATAGATGAGATCTGACGAGATATTGAGAGTGAATTGAGAGATCAAGCAAAGATCGACAGTAAATTTAGAGCAAGTACATGGGCTGCTGGTGATTGTTAGATGCCGAGGCTTTCGACCTCCGGCCTTCAAATCCTGCGCCCTCCTCCGCGCCGCGTCGTGTTCTTGCGTCTCCTGCCCGTTCCTCCGCGGCTCCTGCCTCCTCGATGTCCAGCCACAAGCGCAAGCAGCCCCCTCCGCAACTTGTGGTCCATGGGACAGCATCCGCTGTCTCTTCGTGCAGCACCGACCAGCGGAGACAACGGACAACAGTGGGGGTAGTCCCCCACACCGCGGGTCCTTCGGCAGGCGTATCAAGCGAGTTCTGGGCAGAGGACCTGGCCGCCAACGCAGCGCGGCTCGGGGACGACTTCACCTACCGGCTGGGTGACAATTCACTGGAATCGCAGCATGATCACCAGTTTGACGATGGGACAAGTCTTGACGACGGAATCACTGTCGTCATTAAAGAGGTCCGGTACCAGAATTCTGTGCGTTTTCACCTTCTCCTTTTGCGATTTTTATTTTTGACTCGTTATTTGAAACCTAGGATCGTCTGCTTCAGACGTGGCTCCCCAAGGAGGACGAATACCTGGCTGAACAACTGCATCGCGAAGGGCAGGGGCCAAGGGTGGTGTACTCGCGCTGTGCAGGCGTCAGGTGCGAGGACCCTAATCGCACCGACCCTCGCCGAAAATGCCCAAATCATGATTGCACCGGCGAGGCAGAGTTTCGCTGAGCCGATCAAGCATGCTTTGGGGAGGTGATGCACTGCGCGAGGTACATCGTCGTTGCACACGCCCATCTACCTACGCACTTTGTGGAGGTAGCTCTTCGTTTTTATTTTGGGTGAATGTCGAGCTCACTTTTGTGCTTAGAGATGGAACGGCAAACATTTTGTGCGCAAGAGGACGTGGTTGCGTGACCTGGGGCTGCGTGTTCAGCTGGGGCACCCGCCTGGGATTGTGTGTCCTTATAGGTTCCCCGCGCAGCATGATTTTGTGCTATTCGACTTGAATGGTGTTCACGAGCTGCATGTCGACTTCTGTGGCTGTATCCCGGAGGAGGAGCACGGGGAGCCGCGGGATCCGAATCGTCCGCCGGCGCTTCCAGTGGAGCCGCGAAAGCAGCTACTGCGCGCATGCTGGTGGCCCGCAACGGTCGCCATGCCGAATACCTGTGCGACATTCGCGGTTCTGCGACTGTTCCAGATCCTCAATTGCCTGGGAAAGCTTTCAGCTTATGATTTTCTGCGCGGTTTGGAGATGTGTAGTAATCACGATGGTCTTGACAAGCCGCTGGTAAGTGGTGTTTGTTAATTGATTTATGGATGCTAACAGTCAAATAGGATCGTCGAAAGCCGTATATGCACATTGTCCGGCAATGGCGCGAGGTAAAAAGGATGAAGCGGGCAGGGAGGGGGCACGACGCGGGCGGGGTGAAGGCGACAAAACAAGGCGAGCTGGCCTTGATGTGCCGTGCTTGCCCGCAACCAGGGTGGAACCTGCCCGACGATTGGGAGAAGATAGATCCTTTGTACCGGTGAGTTACGTGATACTTGAAAAGGCGACGACTGTACTGAAGATTGGGGTCACAGATATATTTATTTTCTCTTCCTGGCCGTGGACGCCAACTTTCGTCTATCGAACCGCAATGTATCGTCCGAGGCTGCGGATCCCATCATTGGCGACGGGATGGGGTATTTCTGTAAACGCAAGGGGCCGGATGGGTATAAGGCCCATATCGAGAAGAACGTCAATCAACAAGAGATATCCAACTGCTCAGGATTTCAGGCTATGTTTCTGTCAAACACCAAACGCGTCAAGGCCTGCGCACAACAGGGATTGGCGGTGTAACATGTTCTCGGCATAACATGTGGCTACCAAATGCGATTGGCAACTTGCAGGTTGGCGAGCGGTACGTGGTCCCGTTGCTTGTTTTTTTTTTCGCGGATTTGACTTGCATGCTGATCGTTGTGTAGTTTTTGCAATATGGACTTTCTCCTGGTAGCCGTGCTGCTGGCATTGAATCTGCTTTGGGTCGTGGTGTCTTACGACATCGCCTGCCAGTACACCATCAACTTTTGGCAGCGCGCGTCGGAGTTCCCGCAGAATATGCGTCTCAAGATCAAGCCGGAGAACGTCTGGTGGAAGGTACCCAATTTCCACCTTCCGCCCCACAAGACGAAATGCCACTCCCCGTATTCATTCCACTGGATGTGGGGTGCGGGGATGACACACGGGGAAGGCATAGAGCAGAATTGGTCGTTCTCAAACAGCGCGGCGGGATCGACTCGGCTCATGGGGCCGGGATCGCGTGAGGCGACGCTGGAGGATATTTTCGGATTTCATAATTATGATCGTCTGCCCGAAGCCATGCGGCTGTTCATGCCGTCGGAGATACAGAGTGCAGGGCTGCGCGGCAAGGTGTGCGCGATCGGATTGGCAGAGGTGGAAGCACGGATGCGCGCGGCGGAGGCGGGGGATGCTTTGGAGCAGGTGTGGCACGGACTGCGGACAAGAACGTTAACGAATCGGTTCCACCTGCGCAATTATACCGGGCAAAGGATGATGACGAAAGGCCAAGGGATTCTGCGCCAAATCAATATCAAGATTCATATTGCAAAGCTGCGCTACCGTTATTCCTGGTCGGCTTTGTTGACGCTACGAGGCCACGGGGACTGGGAGGAGCGGCTCCGGGTCCTGAAGGACGAGGATGTGCGGGCGCTGAACGAGCGCGCGCTCACAGAGGAAGAAAAAGCTCAGAATGCACATTGGGCGGAGTTAGGGGGTGCTGTCATCGAGGGTGGGATCGCGAGGGCCTCGGGGCTCGTGGCAGGGGAGGGCTCGCACACCCTCTCTTGGATTTGGTATACGGCCGGGGTACCTGCAGGCGGGGACGACAAGGATCCCCGTTTTTACGATGGTAAGTGAGATCTAGATGGATTTAGTGCACGCAAGCTGATATAGATGATCTACAGCTCTACGCATAGAATGGTGCAAAGCGTATTCCCGAGCGAGACGGTATTCCGAGGACGTGCGGCACCTACGCGAAGAAATGCGCCACACGATTGATTTCGGGGGGAGGGCCGCAGCAGTATGGGACGCACGGGCGGACGAGGAGCTGCCGGATTCCTCCCCAGAGCTGACCGAGGGACGGTGGGCATACGCGGCGGAGCACGCGGATACCGAGCGGCGGACGTGCGAGCTTCTGGAAGGGAAGTGGCGCGCTATCCTGAACAGGGCTGACGCGTTTCTCGACGGCGGATTGGCGGCAGAGGGCGATGCGATCACTGTGGAACTGGACATTGGTGATGAGCTGGCCCCGGAGGAGGAGGAGGCCCTGCTGGAGGGGGAGGAGGATGAGTAGTAGCCTTTTTGGGTCAACGGGAGCTCGTTGCCGTGTGATCCAAACATGTGTAAACTTACGTAGCCTTTCTTTCGGATTCTTTCGGACTTTTCTGGCTACGCGGCATGTAATGAGAAGTAACAGAGCGTGACGGGCGGCGGCGAATTTAATGCTACGGCAGGTAAATATAAGCGAAATATAGGTTTATTCTGTATTGGGCTAAGCGGGTCATGTGAGTGCCACAATGCATTAAAGGCACATCGTAGCCGGACGGCAGCACAGTGCCCATAATCCAATGGACCCCCCTGCTGGGGCAGGGTACATTGCAATGTAGTTACAGCCACTGGTGCAGTTCCAACGGAATGGCCTGTTGCAGGAGCTGTTCTACGAGATCGATCTCGTCCCGGAAGAGTGAGCCGTTGTTTTTCTCCTTGGTACGTCTGTACGTTCCGTCTGCGCGTTGCCTCTGATCGTAAGTCTATCTTTAGACCAGCGATCGTAGAACCGTCCAGATCGGGAAGAGATATCTGATGTGATTGGCGAGGAAGTCTGTATATGGTAGCCGGGTAGTTCAGCCTTGATCGTTTGTGGCATCCGTTCGCCGGTATATAAGGCTTCTTGAGCGTGGGCCTAAGGGTAACCCTTGAAGTTTCGCCCTTCGAATCCTATGCCTCCTGCTGCTCCCAAAACCGGCGTCCGCGTTCGTGACGAGTTCCTCAATTGCGACTTCCCCACCGTCGGCCAGATGGTAGACTTCGCTCATCACCCTTTCATGGCGCGAGTCAGCCGCGAAATCCTCGAACCTCTCTACCAGTTCTTCCTCCGTATCCGTGAAGATTTTACCTGGTCTCCGGAGAGCAAGACCAAGGGAGAAAAGCGCGTTCGCGATTATTTGGAGATGGCTGTGAGTTCCGGGTTCCCGTTTCGAAGCAATCTTAACGCTCGTGCGTTCATAGGGTCGCTTGTCTGACTATGTGATTTGGTGTAATAGTGTTAACTTTATTGCAATGTGGCCAGTAACTACTGGGGGTTGCATTACAATTTGCACAGTAACTACTGGTCAGTAAGCTGTAGACACAATGCAATGTGTCTGTAAAGAGTGTACAGATTTAAATGCAATTTAAATGGAAAAATAGTGCAAAAGGTAGGATTCAAACCCACAACCACCAGATTACATAAGCATCCAGAATCAGGAGCTATTTAACCACTGAGCCACAATGCTATTATACTAATTTAGTTTCCCAGCTAGGGTAAGGACAAGCCTTACCCTACCTGGGACTGCTTATACCCACACCTAGGACAGACAAGCTGTCCTAGGTCTTCGAAATTTGTTTGCACTGCTTATTATGTGTTGTGTTGTATTTACTAACCCCAACCTAACCCAAACAACCCTAACAACCCAAACCACCTAACCAAACCAAACCTAACCAAACTGAGACAAATAATATCCCTGGGAACCCCAAGCACTAACCAACCCTAGCCCTAACTTCTAACCCTAACCTAACCACCCAACACTAACCTTTGGGCCCCTGGGCGGGGCCAGATAGGTAAATATCATGCTAATACAGAAAATTGTTTGACAGCTCCTATTACTATTATATATTGTTGTTAGATAGCCTCCTTAGTCTAATGGTTGTAGTGTTATGCTCTACAAAATGCCATCACCTAAGTATTTTTGGGTTCGAATCCCAGTGCTGACATCTTTTATTTTATTATAATTTGATTTACAGCCACATTGCATTGTCTCTCCAACTTACTGGCCAGCAAATACTGTGTAAATTGCAATGCGGAGCCCAGTAATTACTGGTCACAATGCATTGTCCCTACAGTTCTTGGTGGTGATTCGCCATCATGACCTGGCTGAAGCCAACCGCATCCCGACGCCGCGCGTGGCTTGGCTGCAAGTCGTTATGCGAGCAGACTCTGTTTACGGGTTCGAGGGGGACGACAATCAACTCCTTTGGGTGATATTGAGGGGCAAGATCGCCTCTCTGTTGCAATATTCCGAACGCCTTCGCCAGCACGCGGTGGATCGCATAGTCGAAAAGGATGATGAAGGTACACGGGCCCAGCGTCCGTCCATCTGCAAGAGCGAAAATCCGTTGTACGGTTTGCCGGGCGTGATCGAAGAAGGAGAGGTCGAGGCCATGGAGACTGTATAAATTGGGCCGCTCGTCCTGTAGCGTTCGCTAGCCAATTCCTTTGTCCTGCCTCGAATTTCCTATGTCATATTTTCTCTTCCCTCCGCCTCGCACCGTCGCTGAAGTCGTCCCTATTCACCAATTGGTCGTGGCGCGGATGGACTCGTATTGCGGGGTCCGCATCGAAGCTTTTCAGTTGGCTTCCACCAAATTCGCGCATGTTGAATACGTCCGGGAGCATCTCTGCCCTTTCTGTGAACTCATCCACGGGTGTATTCCTTCGGCAGTTACGGTGCCTGACGATCTCCCTGATGGTCGGGCCGAGTTCCTCCACCCCTACGTCGGTGCATATCTTGAAAAGGCGGTGAGTGGGCATCGGGCGCGGCGTACGAACACTGATTTCTTCCAGGCGTTCCTCTATAGCGCCGCACTGGAATATGCCAAATCGAATATCGAAGCCCCATTCCTCGATCCATCGGTGATTTGGTCCCTGACCATGGCGCGGACCTTTCATTACATGATTGGTCAACCATCGTATGGTTATTCGCAGGAGTGCTGCGACGCGTTCCTTGGTCGGATTTCCTCTGCTCTTTCATTCGCGGACAGGACGCGTACTTCGGCCTCGCGTACGGACGTCCCTTTGTCGCCCGAGATCGCGTCTCTCCCTCATGTTCCCTCGTGGACTCGCGAAAGGATTAACCACCTTGGTATTTTAGAGCTGAACGACGCCTGGACCTGCGAGAACGGCCTGCTCCAGGACAAGATCGAAGCCAGTCAAGGAATCGGACGCGGGCTGGAAAAGGCCGTTGCGCAAGCAGAGGCGGGCTACGGGCAAAGCCCGAGCGGACGGTACTTCGTGTAACCAGGCACTGTTCTTCGTCATAGTTGGCTCCTTCGCCTTGGCATAGTTTTTCTTCATAGATATCCCGAGTTTCCGTCGAACGGGTGTCCCATACGTTCATGATTTCTGCATGTCCTAATGTCTTGTTTCCTTGTTTCGTGGTTCGTTCGAGTCGATATTCGCTGTCGTTTCATCATAATGGAGGTAACCCCCGCATAAGTCTTCATAGTTTTGGACACGTACCACGCCCGTGTCGAATTGTCGGATGTCCACGTGGTCGCCCATAGGCCCGGATTTTATAAAAGGCAACCTCGCGCGCATAGGAGCGTGCAAACTTCATCCATCTCCCCAGCGCATGCTTCATCGCCCTAGACGTCACTCCACTGCCAGACGCTTTTCAAAGGAAGAGCTGGTCATCTTGTGGATCCACCGCTCACGCCACCTGGCACAGCAGCTTCACCGGACCACCCGTGCTGCTCCCGTCGCCGAAACTCCTGAAGCGACCGTGGGGCTCATTCGCGACGCCATCGGCGTATTGTTGAAGAACATGGTGGCTCTGGGCAAGGCGAGCATAACATATGGGAAATATGCGGAGGGAGAGGAACCCGCATTTTTCGTGCCGTCTGAGGGGACCACTTTATTTGGGATGGCGGAAAGATTCGTCAACCTATACGGCTTCCATGAGGATTCATCTCTCCTCGACCGCACCATCCTTTTCGACAACCTCTGCACATTGCAGGAGGCCATGATCGGAAACCCTGGCTACCTCAATCTGGGCATCGATTTCCCAAATTTCGAGCTTTCCTCGACCGAACTGGAGTGGTACGGGATTTTCCCCTTCTACAAAGCACGCCAGGTCGCCCTTCTTTCTGCGACACATTTCCGCCGTCGGAAGTTCGGAGGAGGGCTTCTTCGGTACAACCCTGAGCTGGGTGAAGAGGGAAGATACGCGTTCGCTGATATTTCGCTGGAAGGGCTTCCCACGCGTCCTAACACACCCGAATCGCTGGAGGGAGTCGAGAAGGTTGGATCGGAGGCAGCGCCTGTTCAGGTCTTGGGGCTGCTACGGGACGGACTTTGATGAAAGGATGATCTGGAGGCGTCGCCTGGAAATTGTATTATGGCTGGAACGTAAAACCTTCGCGTATTTGCCCCTGAGGGCCTATTGTACGCCTCGCCCATTCGCGAGTTTTCCATCAATTTCGGCCCACGTGATCGTTCCTTGGAGAGATATAAGTCGCGCTGGCCTTGTTTTTCAGGTAACACGTCCCGGAAATGCCTCAACTCGTTATTCGTCGTCCGGATGGTCCTCCGTCCGCTATTTCTCGGAATGCCCATATCCTGCAGGAATTGTGCCTCCCCTCGGAGACACTGGACACGCTGGGCTTCACACCAGACGAGCCTTGGTCCGAATTCTTCGAGTTTCGCCTTCGACCCATGGTTTATCTCGTCCATGCTGGAGTGACGCAAGATTTCTCCCTAATCGGCCGCAAGGGGGTTTATTCCCTTGGCGAACTCGAAGAAATTAAACATTGGGTCCAGCAGGCTCTTCTTCACTGCGTGAGCGTCATTTCGGGTGCTGGGTCTGCGGCTGATTTTTCGAATACAGAGGCTCCTCCTGGTGTGCAGAAAGCCCTCCAGCCGGAGTACGAGGATAGTTTCAGCATTTCTGCCCTCCCACTTGGGGCATCCCTGGCGAGGCAGTAGCCATGTTCGAGATCATGTATCGGATCTGCCTTTCGATCGGGTTTCCGTGCAGCGATGATTCCCTCTGCCCTTGGACCGGCACGTCCTCCTGCCTTTAATCATGGGCGCACGCGAGACCCGTGCTTTTTGAAGACCGCCGACGATTATTCCGCCTATAATCGTTTGGCGAAGTGGTCGACGCCAATGGTTCATCGGTGGCCTGGCTCGCATAATTAAGCAGGGGTGAGGAAGGCTTCAGCTCCGACTCCGAAAGTTCAAGCTCGAGGGAAATCCATTGGCCGGAGGCCTGAGGATCCCTCTCGCATGGTGTGTCCGTTCCTGTGTTTTCCTCCCAATTTTCGCGTCGTTTGACTGATACGCCCCTATCCTATATAGGTCCCTCAGGAGGACTCCGAAGCGTACGCGATCGGAATAGGGGGCCAGTTTCAGATTTGCCGATTGTTTGGTCTCGTTCGTACGCCGTCCGATCACGTGTAATGACTTGTCCTCCTGTCTTTCCAGCCGTTTTCTTCGTCTTTATCCATAATTGACGGAACGGAGCCTGGGTCCGTTCCGTACGTTATCCTCCGTGCCGCATAATTTTTCCTAGAGAGGTGGCTGCCCCTCCAAGAATCTTGGTGAGAACGCATCGTGCACATGCGTCTCCTGTTTTTGGTGATCACCCTTGCGCTCCTCGGTCCTGGGTTACTGCTGGTGCTCGCTGCTGATATCCTCCTGATCGTAAGTCTCGTACGTCCGGCTTCCTTCTGATTCCTGCGTCCTGTTCGTCGCGTATTATTCTTCGGCTAGTTGATCGAGATTCCTTGGTAGATATGTTGCTTTGGCGAATTGTATAACGAAATATCTTGATGAAACAGTGGACGGTCCTGGCGTCCGTTTGATGGCGACGAAGGTCACGTGCCTTTCGCATCAAAATCGCACAGGGGCTGTTATTTAACAGATTTTCCCGTCGACGCGTCCGTTGCTCCTCCTTCTCCTCCTCCCTTGGACAACGCGTTGGGTTGGAAAGCGCCAACACGTGTGTCGTGGGAAGTGTTTCAGGCTCGGATATTTTCGTCCATCAGTTCCAAACTTGGTAAGACCAAACTCTCTTTTGGTCTTCTTTTTATTTTCCTTATGTCTTCTTCTTCTTCGTCGTTCTCGGTGGTTTCACGACTGCGGCGGCTGCGGTGAGTCGTCCTCCTCCTATTTTCTTTCACCATTGCTTTCCACTGACTTTTCTTCGTCTCTCCCTCCCTCGTTGTCCTCGTCTTGGCTCTACTCGCCGCCTTTTCCTGTCTCGTCGCCCTCTATGTCTGGTCCCACGACACGCCTGTGGCCTCGAACTAAGCTGGGCTTGGCCGCTACTTCAGTTTCTTCAAGCCGGCGTCCTTCCTCTGTGAAAGGTTCCTCTTCGTGCGTGTTTTTCTTCCCTTTTTCTCCTTGTTTCCTCGCGCTGACCCTCCGCCTTCCTCTTTTATCTTCTAGGAAAGCCTCTGCTCGTGACTCGAGCGGTTCGTCCGTCTCCTACATCGATTCTGGCAGCGAGTCGG